TAGGCTGACACCACGGCACTCTAGCCCGGGCAACACAGTGAGACTCTGTCTCAAAAGAAAAAAAAAAAAATTATTCAGCCATAAAAAGCAATGAAGTTCTGATACATGCCATGGCAGGGATGCATCCTGAAAACATTATGTAGGTTAAAGAAGCCAGATACAAAAGGACTAATATTGTTATCATTCTACATATCTATGAAATATCTAGAATAGAGGTAAATTCATAGACAGAAACCACAAAGGTTACCAAGGACTGAGGGGAAAAGGGAATAAAAGGAAAAAAAAAAAGTAAATATACATATAATTTATCATAGAGAACATTTAGGGGCTTAAAAAATATATATGTAATTTTGATAGACACTGCTAAATGCCCCTGTATACAGTCGGCATCATTTGCACTCCCACCAGCAACGCCTAAGAACGTCTCTTTCTCAGGGCCTCACCAATGGAGCATGCTGTCAAACTTCAGAATTTCTGCATGATTGTTTAAATGGTATAGTAGAACAGTTTTAATCTGTGTATTTTCTTAAATAAAACATTTAAAAAACCCTAATTATGTTTTAACCTATTTGTATTGTTTCTTAAGTAATTACCATGAGCGTCTGAGAGTTCCTTAGAGAAATACACTAGAAGATTTGTAAATTAAAGAGAACCAGCAAGTGAGGACTACACACATTGGTTTGCTTTAAAAAATATGTCAATGTCATGCTTGCTGTAAATTCTAATTCTGGAAATAAAATACAAAACTCATTTTGCATAGTACCACAGGCAAACAAGTACTCAGTTAACAATATCTACCACATTTCAACGAAAAACACTTGATAATTCTAGAAATAAAATAAAACACATTTTCACCAATCATAAGAACCCTTCTGCTTTGACTCAAATTACCCTTGTTGCTATTTTTGGCAGTAGAATTGCCAGTATACACGTTACTTCTCTAGAATTTTACTATATAACCTGAGGTGTAAGATTAAAAACGAAAGAATATGAACCAAATGTGTACAAGTTTACCTTTCCATTTAGCAACAAGCTTAGGATCTGAAATGGTGAAGTTTGGACGGCTTCTTGAAAGAATACCTTTTCCAAAATAACCCTTCCGGGAAGAGAGAAAAGAAAGTTAGTTCACATTTAGTTACCAGTTTTTTAGCTAAGGTAGAATCTACAGTTGTCCAGTGGTTTCCGCAGGGGATCGGTTCTAGAACCGCCCAAAGATGCCCAAATCCATGTATGATGGAGTTCTTGATATAAAATAGCATAGTATTTGCATATCCGCCCATATACTTTAAATCATCTCTAGATTACTTACGATACCTAATCCTATGTAAATAGTTCTTAGACTGTATCGTTTAAAGAATAGTGACAAGAAAAAAAAAGCGTGTATGTGTTTGGTACAGACACAACTTTTTTCCCCTGAATATTTCTGCCCTGTGGTTGTTTGAATCTACGGATGTGGAACCCACAGATACAGAGGGCTGACTGTAACTATTCGAGTTAACAAAAGGTTCACCCCATTTTCCATTTTCTCTTTGGTTATCTAACAATTACTAATGAAGTTCTCAGCATATTATTTTTCTGATTTTTAGAGTGCTACTAAGTTTAGCACACCTCATTTATCCCATAACTAATGATTTCAGTTTAGGCCTCACAGGCGCAGGGCAGGCAGAGGCAGAGCTGCTTCGTCACATGTGGTTCAGCAGCAGGGTGCCTGCAAGCAGGAGCCATGCCCACCAGGCACAAAAAGCTTCTTGGATTCCTTTGTACTCCAGAATTGAAGTATTCCTCTCATTCCTGCTGATTCCAAAAACAACATAAATGTCTCCCCCTTTAATTTAACATATTTAAACACACAGGAAATTGAAATCAAACACCCTTTACCCCCCACTTAACAATCAGAATAAATAATGTGTACAGCTCTTTATTAAGCCTCCTGCTTAATGTTACACATTGTGAATGATGGCCTCGCTGCTAAGCTGGGGGGAGATGGTGCCATTGGCTACTCAGACTCCCACCCCAGTAGGGTCAGTGATACCTACTTTTCTATGAAATGTCTAGAGAAGGCACATTTATAGAGACAGGAAGCCAGTAAGTGGCTGCCTTGGGCTGGAGTGGGAGCGGGGATTAAATGCAATGAACACAAGGGGACTTTCTGTGGTGATGGGAATGTTCTAAAACTGGATTGTGGTGAGGGTTGCACAACTCTATAAATTTATGACAATCACTGAATTGTACACTTACAATGGGTAAATTTTATGGTAAATTATACCTCAATAAAGCTGTTAAAAAAATGCCCCCAGCAATGAACAGACTATGGAAAAGCACAAAAAAATAAAAAGCTCCCAGTCTTAACCCAAACATATCACTGCTGAAAAACAGTAAAGACTAGAACTTTTCCTCATCTAAGAAGAGGTCCCCAACCAGAAGAGAGAACAGATAAGGAGCTACGTTCCGAAGTTTCATCTGACTTGTTCATGAGCTAGAATATGCCACTCTGTGATTATCTCTGGGAGTGGAAAAGGAGTGAGTGGAAATTTTCACTTTTTACCTATTACATTTCCATAAATGTTATTATCATTTTTACAATGAACATGCATTGCTTTGATAACTCAAAGACAAAAAAGGTCAATCCACCACCCTGTTTCAGCCATGTTTCATGGCTGAAACATAGGTTTGTGGCTGGGGGCGCTCCACCTGTCATTTTATTACCCTCAACGCATGGCTCTGGGTCACTTGATTCAAATTGTACTGTCCTTACATTGGACCAAACTGTAAGGAAAGACCGTGCATCTTTCATGGTCCTTTTGGAGTGGAGGGATGGAATGGGAAGAAGGAAGAAGGATTGCTTGCTCAGGGTGGTTAGAAAGTAACCATACCACAGCCGCCTGCACTTACTTTCCCATAGAGCTGTTGGATGTCCTCTGCGTTCCTCACAATCACATTGTTGTTAATCATTTCGGCATGGAATATCCTGAATTCTTTCTTAGGACTTTGGTCCTGATCAAAAGGGATTGGCCATGGAGACTCATAATTCTCATACACTCTTCTTTTCCTTTTTGGGGCGTGGAAAACAGCTTCTGCCATTTTTCAGGGGGGATTCTTCTTTAAACAGTAGACAACAAACAGAAAGAAACAATCAGTCAATAACCACATTGATCAAAAAAGTATGTTTATACCTAGGCTCAGAAAACTTTGTAGTCTGTGGAGAAAAAACAATATTTATAAAGCAATAAACCAAAAGACACAGAGTAGTAGGAACATTTTGTATGAGTGGTGCAAATCACATTCACCTTTTATTGAAATTAATCCTCACAGTAGTCCCCAAGATGTGGTATTATTTCTACTATAGCTAACAACACTGAAGCCTAGTGACACGTCCAAAGTCACAATGCTAGGTCTCCAGAGAGCAAGAAGAATAGGATTTCTGTGTATCAGGATTATGTCTATTCTTTCAATCAGCCAACAGACATTCACTGAGTACCTACCAGGAAATCCTAATAATCTTAGGTGCTCGGGATATACAAATAAAACCAAGACTCTGTCTTCAGCAAATTAAATCTAGTGAGTAGAGTACTTCATTTTCCAAAAAACGATCTCAAAAAACATTCTAAATATTGAGTCAATCATCTCCCAATTTTTACAGTAAACTAATAAGTAATAATGATGGCAGCAGTTATTTAAGGGTCTACTACACATCACCAAATGCTAGAGGCTTTGAGCAGGGACTCTAAAGCCAGACTGCAAGGGCTGGAAGTGACTTCACCTTTCCTAGCTGTGTGATTTTGGGCAAAAGTTACTGAATCTCTCTGTGCTTTAGTTTCCTTACCTCCAAAATAAGGGTATAAACAGACTATCTTACAGTTAAGTGCTTAGAATACAACCTAGTGCACAGTACCACGCAGGTCTCAGCTACAGTTATTACTATGGGATGAGCACTTGCAGTGCCATCTTACCAATGAGGAACTAGATCCGGGTAGAGAGATTTGTAAAGGGACCAGAGAGAGGTAGCACTGGATGACACAACGTCTGTTGAACTCCAAAGCCCACGCCCTTCTCTCTGGGTTCTGCTTTAATCACAGGCAGCCTCTGTCCACTTCTGTGGCAGCTATTTCTCAAAGACAGAAGCTGAAGGGTTATTCAGTGATTATGGAATTCCCACTGGGCACCCAGCACTGTGAGGGAGAAAAGGAAGCTGAAGCCAGTACCTCTGCCTTCCAGGCCTTCCAGTGGACCTGAGGAGATAAAACAAGCATATAGCACACCTGAAAGCAAGTCAGAGATAACAAAACTGGCTGCAATCCAATAACGGTTAAAGGAAGTAAAGTTGAACATTTTTTGCGATGCAGACATACAGCCACAGGAGATGCATTTAACTTAGAAAAACTTAACCATACCTGAGGGAACAAAATGTAAAGGGTGCAAGAGCTTCTGCTCACTCAATCAGCAGATACCCTGGAATGAGATGGGAGATTTGAATCTGCTGCTCCCTCAGTATTAGGTCTGGACTTGATTTCAACTGATCACTTATCTGGTGCTTGAAGGTAGAGTGAAGCCACATCACACACATGTTTAACCTTCGTGGCTCCAAGCCTTCACGAGGGATTAAAAAAAAAAAAAGATTATCTAAGCGCCCCCTGTGCTCAGTACCAGCATCGCATCAAGGAATGGATGCAATGGGGCCTGAAACAAGACGGTGGCTAATGCTGAGAGAGGGGAAGGTGAGTGCTTTTAAGGGTTTCATGACCATTAAAAAGAAATTAAAAGCCTTGTCCAATGTGTTATGATAGCTTTATCCAAATTCTCAAGGAAGAAGTTGAAAAATTAAATGAGGACATTGAAAAACATAGACCAAGGAAGAGTTAGAGAAACCGATAACTCAATTACAAAGATAACTATGAAAAACAAGATAAATCAGCAAGTTGGAACCCTCCTAGAATTGACAAAGCGTTCCAAGCAACAACACGCTAGAATAACTTAATTTCTAAATAAGGTCCCTCAATGGAATTACATACTGGGCATTACTGTATACATTATATATTTACACATACATATTGCTGCATAGGTTTTATAACAAAACATGTCTACTGCATGTTCATGGGAAACCTAAGAGATTCTCTTCCAAGGGCATTTTGACTAGACTTTTCCCATACTTGCTAACTTATACCTCAACCCAAGCCAATGATTACATCTGGTACTCAACTGAAGATACAACAATTTATTCCAAAACTGAAAATAAACAATGCCAGATTAGCTTTTTGGGGGCAGGATGTTGGTCTCTAGTGAGGCACCTTTTTAGGGATTTCTAGGAACAATTTGGACTTTTCTGAAATTTTTCACTTTTATAACTTAACCTCTGTCCAGCATTTGATTTGTATATATTACATTTGGAATTTTAAAAAAAGATTTAATGAGTAACTTCAAGAAGTTCCAATCAAATTCTCTTGACAAATAAAAATGAAAAGTTGCATTTTAATTTGCCTGGTTTGTTCAGGATTTTCCCTTTCAGGCTGATGTGACTCTCTAAAAAAGGTAAAACTGAGCTTTGACACTTGATGGCAGGAACTGGTATACTCCAACCCAAGTGTGTGGGGTGGAAGGGTCCCTGCCACAAAACACCCGTTAAACCTCATGATCCAGGTTCTAGCATCACTCCTGCTCACATGACTGCACACACAAGAATTTGGCTCACAGTAGGCCTTCTGTACATCCAAAGCAGCCAGTATTATTGTGTGACCTTGCAAAAGCCACTTAAGCTCTCTAAGCTGTTTCTTCATCTTCAAATTGAATATTAATAGGACTGGAAAGCAGTCTAGCAGTTCCTCAAAATGTCAAATACAGAGTTAAAATATGATCCAGCAATTCTACTCCTAAGTAAAGATCCAAGAGAAAACATATATTCATGAAAAATTTGTACATGAATGTTCACAGCAGTATTACTCATAACGAAAAAGTGGAAACCATGCAAATGTCCATCAACAGATAACTGGATCAACAAAATGTGGTCTAACCATACAACGGAATATTTGGCCATAAAAAGGAATGAAGTTCTGATATATTCTACAACATGAATGAACCTTGAAAGCATTATGCTAAAGAAGCCAGACACAAAAGACTACATATGAGACCACTAATATGAAATGTCTAGAATAGGCAAAACAGATAAATTAGTGGTTACCAGGGGCTAGGGAAAAGGGGAAATAGGGAGTGACTGCTAATAGATATGGGTGAAGGAAGGGTGAAGAAATGTTTTAATATTAGACTGCAGTGATGGTAATGGCTGCACAACTCTGAATATATATACTAAGACCACCGAACTGTACATTTTAAAAGGGTGGATTTTATGGTATTCTATGGTATCTCAATAAAGCTATTATTTTAAAAAATTCAGCAGGAAGAAAGGCATTCCTCGGGCTATGTACTGCAGGAATGGTTTCACAGACACCACCAGCGTGAGGCTTCTGGAGAATATTGAAAGGAACTCTCTCAGAAGGCAGAGTTCACTTTCCAAGTAAGAAAAAACAAATTCAACAGGACAAACCAGATGATCTCTAGTTTCATGGAAGAGTTCGCTTGTGCTGAAGTTGGAAAGCAAAGCAGAGGAGAAAGGACTGCATTTGCCTTTCTCCATATCTGCAATAGGCATTCAAGAAATGTTTCTTTAGTGTCATGACAGAACCGCATGACCTAAGAGGTGGGATATGAGTCAAATTAGAAGGGGTAACCATCATAGGTAGGTACAAAGTGCCAGGCACTGCCTGTGCCATTTGCTACACATGTGGGTACGAAAGTCATCCCTTCGTAGCTGTAGAGGGTCGGGGGGATTGGTTCCCCATACCAAAACCTGCAGAAGCTTAAGTCCCTTATATAAAGAGGTATAGTATTTGCAAATAACCTATGCACATTATCCTGTATATTTTACATCATCTCTAGATTACTTACAATACCCAATACAATGTAAATGCTACGTGAACAGGTGTTATACTGAATTTTTTTTATTTGTACTATTTTTTTTCCCCCAAATACTTTCGAATTTGTGGATTTGGAACCCGTGGATAGGAAGGGCCGACTGTATTATCTTCATTTCACAGACAAAAAAGAGAAGCCATGCCTGAAGCCCACAAAAAAGCACAGGGAAGACTGGGTCAGTAGTGAGATTTGGGATGCAAAGGCTGGTTTAGACCTGGAGTCACCACAGGTTCTTAAGCAGAGAATGATGATTGAAAAGAACAGATTAAGAAAATTAACATGGGAGTGGTACATAACGGCGACCCTCAAGCTCAGCCACCCTTAAATCCTAATGCCCAGACCTTACCTGCAATTAACTGCTTCGGAATTTCTGGGGTGGACCCAGCTGATTTCAACACGTGGCCCATCAGGGGTAACAGCATGGTCTATTGAAACTCAATCCCAACAACCCCTTGAGGTAAGTACTATTTTTATTCCCATAGCACAGATGAGGAAAGTGAATCCAACGGGCTAAGCCCACCTGTAAGGGATTGTTAACTTCTTTCCCAAACCTGGGCACGCCTGACTCCAGCGCGCATGTACGTAGACTTACTTTCCATCAAAAGCAAGGCCTGTTCCTTATTCTTCCCTGAGCGACAACCTAATACCTTTTAGGTACTCAGTCAACGTCTATCTGAAGAGTAAACAAAAAGGGGGCAGTTGGCTCCATAATTTTCCAACTCCCTTGACCCAGGTGCCAAACAAGCCTGGTTAAAAACCTCCCAGCCAGCAAAGCTCATCTTCTCCCAATTAAAAAACACGTTTGAAGCTCCACCTGCATACCACCTGGGCTCACGGAGGCAAGGATGAAAGGGATAAGGTAAACAATCCTGCCTCTGGGGAGCTTTCAAGTTAGAACCTGAGAATAAGACATAAAGAGGCCCGGTGCGGTGGCTCACGCCTGTAATCCTAGCTCTCTGGGAGGCCAAGGCGGGCGGATTGTTTGAGCTCAGGAGTTGAAACCAGCCTGAACAAGAGTGAGACCCCGTCTCTACCAAAAATAGAAAGAAATTAACTGGACAGCTAAAAATATATAGAAAAAATTAGCCGGGCATGGTGGCGCATGCCTGTAGTCCCAGCTACTTGGGAGGCTGAGGCAGTAGGATTGCTTGACCCCAGGAGTTTGAGGTTGCTGTGAGCTAGGCTGACACCACGGCACTCTAGCCCCGGCAACAAAGTGAGACTCTGTCTCAAAAAAAAAAAAAAAAAAAAAAAACATAAAGAGATGACAAGCCTTTGAAGGGTGGTGTGAGGATTAGATTGAGTAATCTTGTGCAAGGCGCCTCGCCTCGTACAGGGCCTGCCACGTGGAAAGTGCTCACCCGGGTAGCTGCAACTGCAATAAACCATTGCGCACAAGGCAAAAAGAGTTACAGGTATTTGTATACACAAGGAGTGCAATGCGCACTACCCGAAGAAAGAACATATGTGAAACACGGACTGGGGGGGGGAGAACCAAGGGCAACATACGTAACCTAAACATCTGTACCCCCATAATACGCTGAAAAAAAAAAAAAAAAAAAGAGTTACAGGCCGGACGAATTCGTAACTCCCTGTCTTAACCCTTTGCTTCGTCCCGTGAGTGTCCACCCGCCCCAACCTCTCTAGGGGCAGAGGCTCCTTACGGGCAGAGTGTTGGATGCACCTAGAATTCCCCAGGCCCCAGCACTGGACAAGGCCTCAGTGCTAACAGAAGAAACAAAGGGCTACAGGTGTGCGAAGGGGCGGAGGAGTTAACGCCCGGCCGCACGTAGGAAGCCTGGCTCAGCGGCCCGGCAGTCTGGTCCAGCTGTGCGACCGCAGGAAAGTCCCTGGGCCCTTTCTGCTCTCGCCCTGGAAGGCTTCGGAGGAGCGCGGTCTCCTCTGGCGGCGGAATCCCCCCACCGGGATATACGACCGCAGCGCTCAGCGCCCGAGGACGCCATCTGCTCCACGTTCAGGTCTCTTACCTTCGTTGGCCCCAAGCGCTCGCAGTTACTCCAGCAACGCCGGCCAGGGGGCAGACATCGCTGCCGTCAAGCAGTGCGGCCGCAAAGCCAGCCGAGGACGCAGCCGCAGAGCTGGCCAAAGAGCCCGCCGGATGTTGGCGCAGTGCGCCTGCGTACTGCCTGACGGCGCGTGTTCTTTGCGCAGGCTCGTCCGCCGCGGAGTCAAGCGGAAGTAACAGATTGTGTTTTCTGCCCTCGCCGGGATTATCTGGTCTGTCTCCCAGTGCAGATGCCCTTCTCGTTTAATCGTCACAACAGTCCCGCAAGACCCGTTTTACAGATGAGATGCAGTTAACTGCAGGTGTCATAGTCACGTGGGTAGTGGAACCGAGACCCAAAGGGTCTTTAGCCTTTGGAGCGATGGGCTGCTTGAGGCGACCGGACTTTATTAAATGGCCCTGGTCCTGAGGAGACTGCCTTCAGCTTTCTCTGTGTAAAATGGGGTCACTACAGTGTATTTGTATAAGCTGCAGCATGCAGGGAACTTGTAAGGATGCTCTTCTCGCAGACAGATGACCAAAAGCCACTGTGTGCTCTGGCTGCCCCGTGCAGTGTAAAGGACAACAGGCCTTTACACTCCTCTCTGGCTGTGTGATCTTGCGTGAATGACTTAACTTTTCTGAGCCTGATTTTCCTCTACTGAAAAATGGATCGTCAGGATTATGAGAAATGAGCAAAACAAAAGTGCGATGGCAGTGTAAAAGTTTCTCCTGACCTTGTTATTTTAAAGGAGGCTTGGTGGGGAGTCTAATATATACCTTACCAAATATTAATCACAGGCTTTCGGCCGGGGGCGGTGGCTCACGCCTGTAATCCTAGCTCTCTGGGAGGCCGAGGCGGGCGGATTGTTTGAGCTCAGGAGTTCGAAACCAGACTGAGCAAGAGCAAGACCCCGTCTCTACTAAAATTAGAAAGAAATTAATCGGACAACTAAAAATATATAGAAAAAATTAGCCGGGCATGGTGGCGCATGCCTGTAGTCCCAGCTACTCGGGAGGCTGA